TGTGTCCCTCCAAGATTACTCCCAGCTTTCTGGTGTTGTGTTGGGTGCAGCAGCTGATCAGCTGCTCAGAGTGATCTGGGTGCACACACAGCAAGGAGAGCAAAGTGTCACCAAGGTGGTAAGGCTCCCAGATGGCTTTATTTCTTCTTTGTGCTGCCTGTACCTTCTGAAAGTCACTGCTGACTGTCCTGTGTGACCCAACGTGGCAAATAATTAAGGACTGAGTTTTTGAGGAAGCTACCTGGATTCCTTCAAGGCAAGGTTTCATATTCTTGCTGTCCCCTTGAGCTGGTGGTGCTGCCTGTCTGCAAGGATGAGCATCTCTTGCATCTTTGTTCCCTCTCTAGGAATGCATCCTCTCTGGGATCATGTCAGTGAACGGGAAGAAAGTCCTTCACATGGATCGGAACTCTTACTATGGAGGGGAAAGTGCATCCATTACACCTCTGGAGGATGTAAGTACAGAAGCTGACACGCAGCCCTTGTGTCCTCCTCGGGCACGTAAAGGGGCTTTATTTCTGGCTGTCCTAAGGGTGGATTCCAAATAATTACTCTGTAAGGGTTTCCTTTGACACAGACTGTTTTAAGGTACCTCCACACCAGCTCATGGTGGGGAGGAAAGCAGGGCTTGTGTTTCTGCTTTGTAGATAGCGCTTGTTTCCTGCAGTTCTCAGCACGCCATGTTTGAGTGATTGCTTGGCAGTGCAACACCCAGCAGCTGGACATTAAAACCCCTCAGCTCAATCATTTCTGCAGTGCTTGGTGGTGGATGTTGGTCTAAAAAATGCTGGGTGTTCTCTGTGCCCTGCTGTGATGCAGGCTGAGCACATCTGGCCACGAGGGCACTTCCTCACTTGGTTGCAGGCTTCTGCTGTGACATTGTGTATCCCTAAAGAGAAAGCACTGTTCTCTTTGCTGCTTAAAGTTAGAGACTTCAATCTGTTCCCCAGTATCAACACCTGGAGGAATCTGTCCTCTTCTGAAGGATTTGGATCAAGTTACCTTTAGTAAAATGGTACTTTGGTTCAGCAGGTTGTAAATTGCCAAGCTTTTTAAGCCTTGCAGGAAGAGAGGATGGGTGAGCAAACTAACGCTGCCTGGTTCTTATTGTGAGAGTTCACTGGATGTGCTTTGTGTGCTGCATCAAAAGTCAGATTCAAAATGAAACCCTGGCCAAAAGCTTGCTGTGAAGAGCTTATGTTCTGCTGGGGAGATGTGAGGGTGGAAAGCGTGTGTCTGTGTGGGAGAAAGTATACACATAGATATTTCCTCTGCTACAATAAGTTTTATATTCTTTCCAAAGCTCTATAAAAGGTTTAATCTACCAGGAACTCCACCAGAATCTATGGGACGAGGAAGAGACTGGAACGTGGACCTAATTCCAAAATTCCTTATGGCTAATGGTAAGCAACGCTGAGCTTTCCAATCTCTCCTCATAAGCTTAGCCTGGAACCTTCAGCTTGGAAAGAAATCAGCAGCCCTTCAGCTGTCTGTGATTCTGTGATCTCCTGGGGAACTTGCTGAAGCATTGCAGAGCTGCTGGAAGCTTGCTGCCCTTGATTTGCACACAGCCAGGTGTTCATGCAGCAGCTCCTGCTCTGTGATTGCTTTGCCTGTGCATTTCTCCAACTTAGAAGATGTCTCTGGCTCAAAGGGGGTGCAGCAGAGGCACGTTTTAAAGGTTTGAATGGTTGTTTTCCAAAGTCCTCTCAGTGTTTGCATTTCAAGCCAGAGCAGACTTTGCTAATCTGAATGGTGAGGGTGAGAAACTGCTGCGGCCCAAAGATGTGACCTTGTTTGCCACACTGAGTGCAGATAAACTACAGAGAGCAGAGCAGCAGCAGATGAAGGTGCTGCAGGATGGCTTTTTACTCAGAGGGCTGATGGAAGCTGGAGTAACGATGAGGAGGCTGTGAACTGCCTGTAAGAAAGCATTACAGCTGCCTAATAATAAACCTCTGCCACTCCCTGTCTGTTACCCAAAGGTGTAAGAGCTGTGTGGGTGCGATGTGGAGCTGACAGCAGAGTGGCTGTGACTGCAGTGGATGAGCTGAAGGCTGATTCCGGTGACTTGTGCCAAACCTCTCTTACAGGTCAGCTGGTAAAGATGTTGCTCTACACAGAAGTCACTCGCTATTTAGACTTCAAGGTGATCGAGGGAAGCTTTGTCTACAAGGGAGGCAAGATCTACAAAGTTCCTTCCACTGAGGCAGAAGCCTTGGCATCCAGTGAGTAGCTGTGTTTTACTTTTTCCTCTACTGAGGCTGTTGTTGCTAAATAAAGGCAAGGCAGGTCTGTGTAGAAGGATAAGTGATCTGTGCTGGTGTCAGAAAGACATTTTTGGCTCTTCATGTGGTGGTCTGTGCAACTCCATCACTGTCACAGGTTATGCTTAATACGTAGCCCTTCTGCATCCACTCTGACTTGCATTGTGGCTCTTGGGCTTTCCTGAGCCTCGAGTTACTGTTTTCTTGGAGCTTTCAGAGCAGGAGAATTTGGCAGTGTTTTAATTCATCCAAAGGTTACGTTTGAGGCTTTTGCTTCCTGTAAATATGTAATGTTGGTTCCTCAGTGGATGGGATGATGAGAAAAACGTCGCATTTGTCAGCAGGCAAACCAGCATGACCGAGTCCACGTGGCACCAAGCTCAGTCTTCACTGTTCTCAGCTGCTCACACTTCCCTCTTCACTGTAAAACTGCATAATAACTCGGTGGTGTGCATTAGGAGCTAGCAGAGGGCAGCCCGCTAGCTTCAGCTGCATGATGTATGTAGAACCAGTGTGTGCTCCAGTGACTCCTGCAGATACAGCTCCCTCTATGCAGCTTGGTTGCACGTGGGAGCCTTCCTCGCACCAGGTTATTTCTGTGGCTGCTGTGAAGCAATCAGTTGTTCCTTCAGGTTGGCCCCACTGCTGCCTTGTCAGTAGATTCTGAAGAGACTCAAACTGACAGAGCACGGAGCTGCATCTGGTGCTGTGTTTCAGCAAGCCCTGTCTTGCTTCTCCAATTTGCAGAGGATTAAAACACATTAATGGTGCCTTGTGCAATCTTGCGTTGGGATTCTGATGCCAGCAGTGCTTGCTAGCTCCTTGAGTCTGTGAGAGAGCCTGGCACCGTTTGCTTTGGTGGCAGATGCCAAACACAGGTCTCTTTTTGGAAGCCCGTGTCAGGCGTTTCAGCAGGTCTGGTGGAAGCTGCTCTCCGAGCTTTCCTGCAGTTGGAAGGAGCTGCGTGGAGCTCTCCTGCTGGAACACAGAGCCTTGCTTAGCAGCTGGGGCCGATCTCTGCCTCACTGAGCGACGGCTGAAAAACTCAGCAGTTCCAGAAACCATTTGTGTGAGTTCTGACAGAACGTCTGTGTCTGTAGGCTTAATGGGTTTGTTCGAGAAGCGCCGGTTCAGGAAGTTCTTAGTGTACGTGGCCAACTTCGACGAGAACGACCCCCGCACCTTCGAAGGCGTCGATCCCAAGAAGACCACCATGCGTGATGTGTACAAGAAATTTGACCTGGGGCAAGATGTCATAGACTTCACAGGCCATGCCCTCGCCTTGTACAGGACTGACGAGTAAGTGTGGCTTCAGTGAGCGCTCCGAGCTCAGAACAGAGCCTGTGGGTTGGGTGTCTCACACAGCGCAGCGTGCGTGGGGTGGGTCTTCTGCTGATGTTTAAATCCTGTCGTGTTCCCAAATTGATGCAGTATCACCTTCCTGAGCAACACTTGGTGATGCGGAGTGCTTTTCAGAAAGGGAAACGCTCCCCGGTCGGGTGGGCAAGGCAACGTGTTGGAAAGGGAAGTTTCCACTTTTCTGGGTGTGTTTTTTGCCTCAAGTCTTGGTTTATGAAACGGTGCAAATCTTCTGACTTCCCTCTCCAGTTACCTCGATCAACCATGCCAAGAAACAATCAACAGGATTAAGCTCTACAGTGAGTCTCTGGCTCGGTACGGGAAAAGCCCATACCTTTACCCCCTCTATGGCCTCGGAGAGCTGCCACAGGGATTTGCAAGGTGAGAACCTGATTTTGGCTTCCAATGTTTTCTCAGCTCTTCTGTGGCACCTGCTGGGGGGATGAGACCCAGCACGGCCTGCGGCGTTCGTGCTGCAGGACTCTGTTATGCCAAGTGGATTCCTTCTAGCTGCATGCAGTGGCACCTGTAATTCACTCCCAACACTGATGCATTGCAGGGAGAATCGTAGGATCATAGAATCATAGAATGGCTTGAGTTGCAAAGGACCACAAAGATCATCCTGTTTCAACCCCCCTGCTGTGTGCAGGGTCGCCAACCACCACACCAGGCTGCCAGAGCCACATCCAGCCTGGCCTAGAATGCCTCCAGGAATCCAGGGGCATCTACAACCTCCTGTTCCAGTGCCTCACCACCCTCTGGGGGAAAAGCTTCCTCCTAACATCTAACCTAAACCTCTCCTGTCTCCGTTTAAAACCATTTCCCTTTGTCCTCTCACTATCCACCTTCATAAACAGCTGTTCCCCCTCCTGTTTATGTGCTCCTTTCAAGTACTGGAAGGCCACAGTGAGTTCTTCTCACAGCCATCTCCACAGCTAAAGAAGCCCAGTTCCCTCAAGCTTTCTTCAGAGTACAAGTGCTCCAGCCCTCTGAACGGCTGCCTCTGAATGGCAGACAAATCTGCTGTGTGGATGTTTAGGCAGCATAGTTTGAAGAGGTTTAAGCATAATGCATGGTTTGTCCAAGCAGAATGGAAGCAAGGGGCTGGAAGGGTTGTTGGAAAGAAAGAAAAACCTGTGGGATGTGCTGAAGTGGCTTTACTCTTGCAGGCTAAGTGCTATATATGGAGGCACCTACATGCTGAACAAGCCCATTGAAGAGATTGTGATAGAAAATGGCAAAGTTGTTGGTGTGAAGTCTGAAGGGGAGGTATGGTACCCTCTGGTTCTTCCCTTATTCCCATTATCGCTGTCTTGCCTTTAAGCTGAGGCTGTCAGTCATCGATCTGAACAAATGTAGCAGAAAACCCCTCAGTTGAAGCTAAATTGTTTGGCTGGTGCCAGTTTATTCACGTCGTGAGCTTAAGAAGTGCTGATAATCTTAATGTGAGGAGAACAATACAGTAATCCCACTCCTGGAGCCGGAATGATTCTCCAGGGAGCAGCAATGTTGTCTTCTAAATAAACCAGGCTGGTAAAACTGGAAAGAAGCTGCTCGCTGCTGTCTAACCTGGGTATGAAACCAGCTCTGCCCTTGACATTAAGGATTAGCTGCTCAGCCTGCTGGCACACGGCCTTTCCACAGCTTCTTAACTCAGCAATATAAAACTAGCAAGAGTGCAGCGAGTTGCTTGGAAGCTATAAATGTGTTTGCAAATGGAGTGGGAGCATCACAGGACAGTTTAGCACTCCCTGGTAGGGTAACGTGTCCCTTCTGGGCACGGGTGATGTATCCCAGCTAGCAGCAGAGGTGATAATCTGTGCTGTAAGACTGATGTGCCCAAGTGCAGGCTGCCTGCAGGCTTCAAAATTGGTCAAAATGTGAAACTATTACCGTGGTAATGAGGTATAATGTGAAATGGTGAGTTCTTATCAGTTTGATTCAGCCTTGACCACAGCACGTTACGGTCCCAGACTGGAAGGACCGGGCTCTGTAATTGGTAAGAGCTTAATTACACGCTGATTAACGAGGGGGAGATGTGATCGGTCACACAGCTCTGTGTAGTAGGGGCTGTGATTTGTGCTGAACATGCAGCCAAATACAATCCTCGTGCAGCTGGGGGCAGGACAGCCACCTCAGATGACTGCCATCCCTCCCCCAAAGTCTGCACGCCGCCCAGCCGTGCGCCTCCACACGTCGCTGCCTTTCTCTGCAGGTTGCTCGCTGCAAACAGCTCATCTGCGACCCCAGCTACGTCTCGGACCGTGTCACAAAGGTTGGCCAAGTGATCCGGGTAATCTGCATCCTGAGCCACCCCATCAAGAACACCAACGATGCCAACTCGTGCCAGATCATCATTCCACAGAATCAGGTCAATCGGAAATCAGGTGTGTGGAGAGCAGCGGCGTTCAGGGTTTGTCCCCGGAAGGAAGAAGTATTTTGTGCAGATCTTGTGGCAGCTTTCGTGCTCTTTTTCTGGAGAGGTGCCTCTCACTTGCGTTCCCTCCAGAGGAAGCTTCCTGGCTTCCTCCTGGGCCGTGCAGTGCTCACGTGAAGCTTTTTAATCCCCGCATGGCTCTGCTTTTCTGCTCCCTGGCTTTGTTCAGTGTCACTGCTTCTGGGCACCCCTCAGTTCCTTAACTCCTGGTGGCAGCTCTGTGCCACTCCAGGAAGCTGCTGCAGCCTTGCAGTGGCACCTTTGTATGCTGGAGTATTAATTGCACTTTTCCTGATGTGTTTAAGCACGCAAACCAATGTCTGGAAGTCCTTTGGGCTCCAGCAAGGCTGCACTTCAGCTGTGTGTGAGAGAGAGAGAGAGGTCTGTGTGCCTGTGGTTGCAGTGCCATGTGGGGAACCTCCAGGAGAAGTGGGTGGAAAGTGTGGGGGGGTTGCATGAGGGGAACAGGAAGGAGTGTGGGTGAAGCAGAGGGGGTCTGGGATGGGGCAGGCCTGATCACATGGCGTGTCCTGATCTGCTGCTGTGTGCTTCCTGCCCCAGATATCTACGTCTGCATGATCTCCTCTGCACACAACGTGGCAGCGCAGGGGAAGTACATCGCCATCGCCAGCACTACTGTGGAAACCGCGGACCCAGAGAAAGAGATCAAGCCGGCCTTGGACCTCCTGGAGCCCATTGAGCAGAAGTAAGCACACAGCTCACCCCTCCTCACCTCCCACACTGCAGCAAGTGCAGAGCTGAGGACAAAGGCAGAGAATCACAGAATGGATTGGGTTGGAAGGAACTTCCAAGGATCACAGGCAGGACCACCAACCTCCCCATTTCACTGCAGCCCAGGCTGCCCAGGGCCCCATCCAACCTGGCCTCCAACACCTCCAGGGATGGATGGGGCATCACAGCCTCTCTGGACAGCTGTTCCAGCACCTCACCATTCTCATAGTAAAGAACCTCCCACCCCAACATCCAGCCTAAATTCTCCCTCCTTCAACTTCAAACCATTTCCCCTTGGTCTGTTGTTGTCTTGTAAAGAGTTGACTCCTCTCCTGTTTGTAGGCTCCCTTCAGGTCCTGGAAGGCTGCAGTGAGGTCACCCCACAGCCTTCTCTTATCCAAGCTGAACAAGCCCAGCTCCCTCAACTTGACTTTGTAGTGGAGGTGCTGCAGCCCTCTGCTCATCTCTGTGGCTCCTCTGGCCCCTCTCCAACAGCTCCCTGTCTTTCTTGTCCTGGAGGCCCCACACTTGGACTCAGTGCTGCAGATGGGGCCTCAAAGGGCAGAGCAGAGAGGCACAATCCTCTCCTGTCCCTGCTGCCACCCCTTTTCTAAAGAAGCCCAGGACACCATTTGAGCTTTGGGACCTGAATGCCTTTCAGCCTCACAGAGATGCTGAAATCCTCAATTCCCTCTAAGCGACCTCTAATTCAGCTCTTCTTACTTGAAACCCACGCTGAAGCAGCTTTCTTTTCCTCCTTCCAGGTTTGTCAGCATCAGCGACCTGTTTGCACCGACCGACCTGGGAACTGAGAGCCAGGTTTGTAAGGGCTGTGCCCAGGGGTGGCTTCTGAAGGAGGAGAGCTTTGGTGCTGTAACTGCTGCCTCTTTTCCTTCTCCTTCCAGATCTTCATTTCTCGCACCTATGACGCCACCACTCACTTCGAGACAACGTGCGACGACATCAAAGATATTTATAAGAGAATGATGGGATCAGAGTTTGACTTTGAAGAGATGAAACGCAAGAAGAACGATATCTACGGGGAGGAGGAGCAGCAGTAATGAGAGTCTCTAATTAGAGAAATTAAATCGGCTAATATGAATATATAAGGAACTTAATGAACACTGTATGAAATTCAATATTGTAAGGCCTGCTTTTGTAATCCCATCTCTGAGAGATTGAAGAGTACTGCACTGGTAATGTTCCCCTTTTGGATATCATGTGTTAATTATTTCATTCTAGTAGGGCTGCTGTCCAGAATCTGGCAAATTACTGATTTAATGACTAACCTTGAAGTGAAAGGCAGACTGAACTATATATATTTTTTTTGCAGACGTAGATGTTGGTGCGGATTGAAATAACTCATTGACAGCTGTGTCTTACCTTGTATTTTTAATCATTTGTAAACATCCTTCACAATTATGTGCTTCTGGTGAGCTAGTAGACGTGACGGTTGTCACTCAAACCTGATATCAAGGAAAATAGAAACTGAGCACTCCATTATTGTGGACAGCATCCCTTGAGTCTCTCTCCCATCAATCTAACTCTGTGGCAAAGTTGTATTATGGACAAAGACCACATCTATTGTAGCAGCAAATGTTGGCTTAGTTCTGGGCACGGAACTTAACCTCCACTTAAGCTTCTAAAACTGTTTACATCGGTTGGGACACAGCTGTGCCTAAGGCTCCTTTGTGTTTTAATCTTAATAAAATTGAGAGAACAAATTACAGAGCAGGCAAGATGTGGGAGTATTTTCTGAACCCCGGTGGCTTCTGGGACGGACCAAACGGCACTGCGGTATTGATATGACAGAGCCTGTGCTTCTTGTGTCTCCTGAAGGCTCCAAATGATTTCTGTACTGCGAAGTAAAGCCAAATTCTGGAAAACCAGTCCTGTGCTCTGGTCTGATTCACTTCAGTTGCACGAGCAGCATCGCCTCTTTGAGATCCCTCGCATAGGGTGAAACGTGAGTGTGGGGCAGAGCATTTCCTACTCAGAAAAGGGGCTCGGCTGTCCTCAGTTTGGCTTTTGACGGGAGGAGATGCAGCAGCAAAGCGTGGAGCTGGAGGCAGGCCCGGCGCGCTCCCTCCTTGCAGCCGCCCCCTGGCGCCTACAAGCAGTACTGGTAATTCCTGCTGCCGCGATTCCTTTGCAGGGCGCTGCTGTGGCTTCGGCTATTGCTTACTTTAGGAGCACGTAAAAAAAGTCAACGGAGCAGCCTTGCCCTGCCCTGAGCTGCTGGGTGAGCACAGGTAAGGGAGAAGGTCCATAGGAAAGCTTCAGGCTTTTATTAGTCAAACTATGTACAAAGTCATCCTGTACAGTTTATGTCATTTCATTAAAAAAACAAACAACAAAGGACAAAATGTTCTCCACGTGAAGACAGAGGGTATCTGACAAAGGTCCTCAGTGCTGTTTTCTTCATGGTGCACATGGGTCTGAGTTACTATAAATAAGAGGTTCTTTTCCAGCACTTACAGGGTTTTCCATCTGCTGGAGGAGACTCACATCCCCACAATGAAATGGAGGCAACGTGGGTGACTTGAAATGTAGTGTAGAGTGAATTTCTGCTTCCCCAGAGTCTGACAATGGTCCCCAAATGGCATTTGAAATACACCCCATCCCCTTACCCCCCCCCCAGCATCCAACACATGCACTTGTGTACAGTAACAGTCATGTGGAAAGCCAGAGCTCACAGTATTGCTTCTACCCCTCAAGTAAACCACATTTGGTTTTCCTATTCCTTTCCTTGTCAGCTGCACTAATTGCTTAAAAACCACCACAATAACTTAAAAACTGCAACGTTAACAAAACCTCTGTCCTACGCCCAACTCGATGGCAGGAAGCAAATCTGCAAGAGGATTTGCACTGAGCCATCTTTAAATAATTCCTATATACAGAACTGAAGTCACCCTTCCCCTGGCCACTGTGTGCTTTTGGGGCTGTCCTTTGGAGGGTTGGAAGACCCCGAGCAGAACTGCAGGGCTCAGAGAGGAGCTGCCCCTTGTGCAGCTTTGTCACAGCAGGACAGAGATGCTGGCACGAGTTCTTGCTGCGTGCCAACTCCCTGCCAGTCCCCAGGAGCTGCTCCTGGTGCTCTTCATCCCATCCCTATGCCTCAATCTGCAGCCTGGGGGGGGGGTTGATCTCAAGCTCCCTCTTACCAGCAGCTTCTCCTAAACGGGGCAGCCACTTTCTGTGCCATCCCCAGGAAGGTGCTGATGTCAGCCACGAGGATCCCTTTGTTTTCCAAGACGTCTCTGCTGACGCTGGGCTTTTCTGCAAAAAGAGTGGCACTGTAAGGCAGACGTGCAAAGGAGATTCTTCTGAAAACTGCAGAAAATACCCCCAGATCACACCACAGTTATTCTGTTTTTGCAGATTAATGGGAGAGCTTCCCAGCCTCAGCCAGGAGCGTGTGACACAGAGCCACCCCCGGGCTCAGAACAGCTGCCAAAATTAAGCAGACCTCCCCCCAAAATCTGTTTGTTTTGCCTGTTAGCACACTGACTCAAGGTGCAGAGCTGCTTTTCCACACCTCAAATCAGCCATTGCAGCAGCAACGAGAGCTGAACGAGGCAGTATTTGTCAGGGGGTGCCCTGAGCCTGCCCTCACCTGTGAGATACACCGCAAACCTGGCGCTGACGTGCTGGACCTGCAGGTTCAACAAGCACTTCATGTACTCCGATCTGGGGGACGAGCTGGAATCACACGCGTGGTAATGCAGCACCTCAATGAGGTCTTGGCATGACTTCAGGATCAAGTTCTTCCTATGGGCGTTGGCATCCACCCTGCAGGGAGAGGGGCACAAGCTCGAATCCTCACCAAACTGTGCTGCCCAAAGCTTTGAGGCACCTCCCTGTCGTAACTCAGCTGGTTGAGAAACCGGGTCTTAAAAACTACCGTGTGCCACTGCTGTGTGCTCAGGGGGGAGAGGATCAGAGTTCTCCCCATTTGTTGCAGTATTTTCTGCTCGTTGCAGTATTTTCTGCTCGCTGAGAACAAACCAGCTCATGTGCCAAAGAGAGGGGGAGCTGCCTTATGGAGATGCAGCAGGGTGCACAGGGCGACTGCCAGAGCTCTACCTCATCCGGGATCTTGTGCGAGGCGCAGCATTTTGGGCCAGCTTCTCTCCAGGTCCCAGTCCTGCTGCTCCCTCATAGAGATTAAAAAAAGAATCCTTGTGTTTTACCTGTGACTGTGCAAATACCGACTTCTGGCAATGCCACGCTCACTGATAAGGGGAGCTGTCATGTAAAAACCTTCATGTTCATCTTGCGAGATGCCAAAGCCCAGCTGGAGGCACCCAACACTCCCTGCGTGCCCACGCTCCGCTGTGGTGCCTACATCCTTGCCCTATTGCCAAGGACACTGAAGACAAAGGATCTGCAGCTATGCAGCCATTACCTGACGTTTTCTCGGAGCTTTTTGCTCTCCTTGTAGTGGAGGAACCACTTCCACCTCCCGCTTCTGTTCAGCTTCTCCAGGACCTTCACCACCTCTTTCAGTTGCCCTGGGGAGACAGCAAGGGTGAGCGAGGGTCCTGTTGGAAGCCGGGCACAGTGGGGCCCTCAGGGCTTTGCCATGGTGAGCTGAGGGCTCGCAGCCTCTTTGGGATACCATCCCAGCATTTGAAAACCCACTGCTGCAGATTTATCCCCCTGATTCTGAACAGGGTAAAGTGTGAGACTTGTTCTACCACTGCACATCTCCAGGAGGAACGTGAATCTGTTTTTTCATCCCATTGAAAAGGAAGAGAAACAGGTCTCCCTGTTGCCCTCCCTGTCCAGGCTGGACATCACTACACATCCCCTGCTCCACCCCAATGGTTTTGGTGGCCAGTACTTAGATATTTTTGGGAGCCATGATATGGACCCATTTATGCAGATAGG